TAAGTCATCTATTTCTGATCTATATATTTATATATGTAGTAACATGCTTGCAACTGCTGATTATGAAAATGCACAAGAAGCTCTTTTGCGTATAGTATGTAAAATGGTACAAAAGTCAAAGTAAAAGAAAACTAATAATTGACATCATCAGTATAGCTTTATTAGATAATTTAGTATAATACAACATAATTGTATCCAGCATGCCAGCAAAAGTTTGGAATAATTACGTTTATTTGATCAATTAAAATATAATTTTTAATTCAATTTGAGTCAATAATGTTCAGGGGGGCCGGAAACCATAGCAGCACCCCTGCTTACTGTACATAAAGAAATGCTTGCTGACCATATCCAACATTACAAAGATGCATTGTCAAAAGCTAAATCAGAGTATTATTCTAATATAATTGGAGCTAGCGTAAAGAACTCTAGATCTCTTTACTGTGGTGAATTTTTTTTCCTGTGTCCACCTGACTCTCTGCTGTTAAAAAGTATTATCGAGTAAATTCTGCACTCTACTTTTACTACTCACTTTACCAACTGCTGCGATAATATTGTGTCATATCCAGAAATCTAAACCTACCACTTGATAGCACGACCCATTGCCTACTAGTTTAGTTAAGCCTGGCAAACCATCTCTGTCTTCATTAATTACTAAAATGATTCACTCTTCACTTATTTTTGGTTCTGTACCTTCCGCTCTTAAAACTGCTATTATTACCCGTATAACCTAAAAAATCAGGAGCTGATTCATCAAATATAGAAAATTACAGTCCAACTTCTAATTTGCTATTTATTTCTAAAATCTTGGAAAAATGTGTTGCAACTCAAGTTCACGATCATCTCTCCAATAATAAATTGTTTCAGCAATTTTAATCTGGCTTTCATCTCCCCCATAGTACAGAGACTGCTCTTGTTCGAATTAAAAACATTTCGATCAAGACCATCTACAGTTACCACTGGTGTCCCTCAGGGTTCTGTTTTGGGCCCACTGCTATTCATCATCTATTTACTCCGTTTGAGAGTTGAGAGAAATTTTGAGGTTTGAGAGAAATTCTGCAAGACAGTGGCACTCCAGGAACAGTTTTGGACACCCCTGGTCCATACAATAAGTATTTACCCAGTCAGGGTCCGTGGCTTGAACTGTGACTCTGTAGTAGGTCAGCTGTCCATCTTCTCGCTCCTGCACGATGAGTTTGTCTTTCGGAAATCTCTTTGTGAGCTGAGCGATCTCGGTGGCTCTCAGCTGCTTGCAGACCTCATCAGTGAGATCAGGCAGTTTGATCTGCTCTTGACTTTTAGCTGGTCGTGTGGTCGGAGCAGAAGGCCTGAAGCTGCTCCTCTCTTTCGGGCCGTGAGGCTGGTCCTCCACGGGCGGAAATTGCTGTGGATGAAAGAAGCGACACCGGTCCTCCATTGCACAAAACCCAGACAGGAAGTAGCGGCAGGGTCGTCTGGCTCTCTCTTGCTTCACAGGAGCAGCTCTGTGGCTGGAAGGAGGTGGAAGCTCCTCTGTACCAGACTGTCCGTTTTCACTCGTCTGCTGCTGTGGGTCTGATGGGTGACCATCCAAATTTCCTTCTTTCTCTTTGAGAGTTGTACAGTTCTCTTCGTCTTTCTGTGCACTCGCAGCTTTTTGATGAAGAAAGCGGCACCTTTTCCCATAATAGCATCGTTTGCCCTGAGAGTAGAAGCGACACAGTTGCTGCACCTGACCAGACTTCTGTGGAGTGTCCTTGCTGCTAATCTCAGTATTTTGGCTTAAATTGACATTTTCAGTGTCAGCTGACACGGATGAAGAGGCTGGTTCATCCCCAGAACCCAATGACTGTGAAATAAATAAAACAACATGAAAGCGTCTGTTATATGACAACATTCTCACATGAACAACTTGCTGTTTCAATGTTTGATGTAGTGTTTTTTTAAAGGGATAGTTCACCCAAAATGTCGTCTTTTGTGTTTAAATCCTAACTGTGAATAAATTAATGAGGCCCTTGAATCTTAAAACCATGTTCCCAAAATTGTAACTGTTCAACAATAATACACTAGTGTATTTGTGTATAGAGTCACTATAATAATCTGCTGAAAATATCAACTTAAAACCTGATTTACATGATTACTGTTACATGTACCTTAAAATACCACGGGTTTCCCTGTAAACATGCTATTACATAACATCTGAAAGTGAACATTGAACTCTGTCACAAGCATGTACTACTACTGACTAAAAGTCTGTCTTTTAGACAGTTTGTTTCAGTAATAAAGGTGCATCAGGTGCGTCACATCAGGTTAATTTGTTCATGCAAATTTGCAGCGTTGACCCGCATACAACTGCTGGTTTGAAAGTGACTTCTGTGCAAGCTGTGCTTCTTTTGACAACAGAGAACTGTCCATTTTGCTGACCAAAAACTTTTGCTAATTTGACCATAACATAACACATCTTAATAAAGCCATATGTAAGTACATAAGTGAGAGGTGCTTTCGAAACACAGCTTCACAACACTTTTTAATTTTTTGTTTTGATCAGTGGTTCAAAGCCTGTATTACACTAGCCAAGTCAAGTGATTTAAGCAATGTAATTACATGTAATTATATAATTATACCACTACACTAATAAAAAAACGAATTAAACATTTTAAAAATGTATAAATGATTGTATAAATTTTAAAAAGCTATATTAATATATATATATATATATATATATATATTTCATAGTTTTGAGGTGTCATTGAAATGAATTGTAGCATTGCAGTTCTAAAACGTGGCGCTTTTACAACGTACACAAGCTGTTCTGCTTTGATCAGCTCTCCACATAATCACAAGTAACTGCACCAACCACAAAAACTAAAAAATACACAGTGTTTGTTTTATCATGTCAATTAAATTCCATAAAGTACCCCCAACATATTCGCGTCACACCTAAAATCTTTGCTTTATTATGGTACATACAAGTAAAAACAAACACTAGCTTTCTATTTTTGTATTCTATTTACTTGTTTTTCTTTGTGTGTGTGTGTGTATAATATATATATATATACAGTGTTGGGGGTAACACATTACAAGTAACGCAAGTTACATAATCAGATTACTTTTTTCAAGTAACTAGTAAAGTAATGCATTACTTTTTAATTTACAAGAGAATATCTGAGTTACTTTTTCAAATAAGTAACGGAAGTTACTTTTTTCCCCAATTTATTGATTGACGGCTCTCCTGTCCCCATGTTGAGAGAAATCAGAAGATGTTACTGTAGTTCAAAATAAATATGAATATGCATTAATTCATCTCACTAACAAAACAAAAAACACAGATTCAGTATTCAGTACAGTAACTAAGTACCGTAATTAGTTACTTTTTTATGGAGTACCGCAATATTGTAATGCATTACTTTTAAAAGTAACTTTCCCCAACACTGTATATATATATATATATATTCTTAATAATTTGAAAAGATTTCACTTTTATGAATTTACCCCGTCTAGAACAGCAGGTGCCGCCAGTCTGTGAGGTTTCGAGATGAACTGAGAATGATTTCGAAACAGTGAATCCTTTTGAGAAGCAACTGGTTCAGTTGATTCAGAATTTCAAGAAGCCTAAGTTAATTTCTCTCATCACTCATGCTCATTCTGATACGTACTAACGCTTTAACTTGGTTTTTAAATGATGCTTTATAAATAAAAAAATCATCTTAAATTAACCATATCCAAATGATTGTTGAAACTGAAAAGATTCGACTCCCAATTCATTGAAGAATCGAGCATTTCTAACACGCACAGGAAGTCCCGCTAAACCTAAAGTTCGACTGTTTAAAATACGTTACCATGTTGGTTTGGTTTACTTATGTTGGCGTTTAGGTGGACTGGACCTGACAATGTTGTTCTGAATTAAAACTCTGATCAAAATTGCTGGTGGATATTTGTGGTGGATGTCACCTAACAGACACTTCGCCACTAACCTGCACCACATCCGCACTTTCTGGCTCCATTAGATCGGATAGCACACACCTTGTAGTCACTGTATCTTCAGTACTTACTGCTGTCGCTCTGTCTCAGTACGTTTAGCATAAACAAGCGATATTCTAAGATTGGGAGGCATTCGTTAGATCAGTTATGATACAAGACGCTTACTTCCTCTAGGAGGCGCTTTGCTGGCTCACAAAGTCTAATTCTTAATTCATCCGCGTTCAAATCTTAAAACGATTCTTGCATTACTGGAGACATTTCTACACCAAAAAGTGTAATCGTTTTAATCTATTAGCTGGTATCTGACATGCCAAAAAGAGAAATTAAAATCTGCTCAAGCTACCCGTGCTAAATTATTTTTGAAAAAGCTTTACGATGTAATCACGATGCACTGTAATTGGTCCAACCTGAGCAGCGCGGAGGAAAGTAACACGCACCACGTGACACCATTAGCGCTATACTTCGGTCTCGTTCTGGAACGGTGCGTTTCTCTCTCGGGCTATGAGGCTGGTCCTGTGGATGCCACGAGCGGTCCTACAATGCACAAAATCGATACAGGAAGTAGCGACAGGAACGCCTGGCTCTCTTTTGCTTTACAGGTGCAGTTTTGTGGCTGAATGGGGGCGGATGCTCCCCTGTACCAGACTGGCTGCTGTCACTCGAATGCTGCTGTGTGGCTCTGATGCGAGACCGTCCACATTTCTTTCTTTTTCTTTGTGAACTGTGCTATTCTCTCTCTTTCGTTGGCGCCTGCGGCTCTCTGATGAAGAAAGCGGCTCCTTTTCTTGTACTAGCATCATCGCCTCCTCTGAGTGTAGAGACGGCACGATTGCTACACCTGCCTGGCCTCATAATTAGATAATTTACTTCGGAGTAATATCAGTGAGACATTTTAATATTCATTGATTTCCAAATACCCAGTAAAGAAGTGCATATTTGGACCAATTAGAGACAACATATGGGCCAAAGCCACGCCCATTCAATAGGCTATGCTAATCACAATTCTATTGGCTGATTCTTTTTCCATCGTTTGACTTAGACGTCTTCGACGCCCTCTTGCGTCACGGAGTGGAAAGACAACAGCGCATGTTCGGACAAGCAATACATTCACATCCAAACGGTCTTAAACACACCTTTTATTCCTAGAATGTAAATAAATATATGTATTACACTGTATAAGTAATGTCTACATACACCCCTCAGACACCTAAATAATTTAGAAACAGAATAAAGGTATAAATATTTCAGTACAAAGTCATTAGATACCAGGTAGGCTACCTGAGCCACATGAAACATCCAGGACAGAGGATGATTTAGAAAGCTAAACTATTTTAAGTTGGATTTGTTTGCTTTAAAAGAAATATAGTCGATCAATTACTGAAAATGACACTAGTTCAGGTGTTTGAGACAATTTGGGAGACCTTCCAGTCAAAAGACTCAGCTTTGCAGCCTGTGTGGGACTATGTGCGACTCAACCACTCTGAAACTCTTCGGTCTCCTCTCTTTCCTGTGATTCTGACCGTAGCGTCGTATTTTGTTCTTTGCCTACCCTACCTAGTCTGCGACATCAATGGAAAGAAGTGGCCAGCTATTAACCGGTACAAGATCCAGCCCGGCAAGATGCCCACAACTGCAATGCTCCTTCACTGCAGTGGAGTTACTCTTTATAATCACGCACTTCTGGTGTTTCCTGCTGCAGTAGCGCAGTGGATGTGGAGACCTCCTGTCCCCCTTCCTGAACGAGCACCTACATTGCTTGAACTTGCAGGTGGGGTGACTGGAAACCTTCTTCTTTTTGACTTTCAGTATTTTATCTGGCACTTTTTGCATCATAAGATCCGCTGGCTGTATGTGACTTTCCATGCTATCCACCATAATTACTCCGCCCCATTTGCTCTGGCAACACAGTGCCTTGGTGGATGGGAGTTGGTGACGGTGGGCTTCTGGACCACGCTCAACCCCATTCTGCTGAGGTGTCATCTGCTCACCACCTGGATGTTCATGGTGGTCCACGTCTATGTATCGGTGGAAGACCACTGCGGATATGATTTCCCTTGGTCCATGTCTCGTCTGATCCCATTTGGTGTTTATGGAGGTCCGAGCAAGCATGATGTGCACCATCAGAAACCTAATACTAACTTTGCACCCCATTTTAGTCACTGGGATAAACTGTTCGGCACTCATGCTGATTTTAGTTTTGCTAAAGCTCAGTGATGAGCATGCATGTGTGTAAATATTACATTTGCATGTTTGGTTGCTTCAGGCAGAGCTTAAACAATGCAGAACTTATAACTTCAGTTTTCACAAGAAAACGATGCATAGAGATTATAGTACAGGCTAATTTGCATATCATAAACACAGGTATAATTAGTAAATTATTAAAAACGAGTAAAAATCAGATTTTTTAAACAAGCATTTTAACATAATGACAGAACTCAAATCTTGCATCTATTATATTTGAGTTGAGAACCTTTTACAGAGATAAATCTTCTGGTAACATTATGTCTATTTATTCATTTAGAAAGCATGTTGATTATCAACTTTAATCCGCTTTATTATACTGTATTAGTATTTAAAAACTAGTTTTACATATGATACATTTAAACAGATTTAAAATGCACAAGAAAAAAAAACTATTGACATCAATTTAGTCTATTATCCATATATTTTTAAAGCTTGTTTATATTGTGACCTTTTATGATTTATCACTGTAAGGGATTTTTCAAAGTTTATTGGAGCATGTTTTACAAGAAAATATCATTTCAGTCTTTTTGCTTAAAAAGTTTGTGTTTAATTCAATGTTACTTGCCCTTTCTTTGTAATTATTTGTGAAATTTACTAGCAATTTCTTAATGAAAATAGTTTCAAAGGAAATCCTACAGTATTCTTTTATTGTTTATTTATTTATAAAAATAGATCTTTTTTTTTTTTTTAGTGATTGTGGATTTATTTGTTTGGGTTTGGCACAATATGAAATGTGAGACAAAATCATTGCATACATAATATATTGAAATTTTATATATATATATATATATATATATATATATATATATTTTTTTTTTTTCTTAAGCTATAAAACAGGTGTGGAAAGGTAAATATGTAAATAAAGATATATCTAATTAGTTTTTGTTCCTCCTACATATAGAAAGACACCAACCAAGCATGGTAAACTCGAAAGCAAATTTTCAAAAGAGGAAATTTTTTTTCTTTTTCTTTTTTTTTTAAGGAAAGCAGATTTGCACGCGTGTGAACTCAAAATAGATCGCAATGGATCCCGATTTGAATCTCTGTGTTGTTAATATTCTCTCTGTTGTTTTTCAAGACTAAATTTTAATATTTAAACATTTGTTGTTTATTTCATGGAATAGTTAACCTTGAAAACCTGCCTGCAGTCTTTAATGAGCTTAAGCCATGTGTTTTGATTTAGAAGCCATTGATCTGATTGATTGTGATTATGCAATTCAATGATGTAACAGCAGGTGCCAGTAAAGAGATTACTTCGTTAAATCCCATTGTGTGACTATCTCGCATGTAACCCTTTACTTTCTATATTTAATAAGTCGATGTTTTGAATAGCAGGAAAAGATGTCGTTCTTTGCAGTTACAAAAAAATACAAAATAAAGTATAGTTAGTATTTTATGAAGAAAATGTGAGTGGTGCGTGCAAAACGTGTAATGCTTTGCTAAAGCCAGTGCTACTAATAAAAGTCTATTAAAAATATCAGGTCATCACATTTCTGTGTCTCCGTTATTTCCTACATAAACATCAAAATGGAATTATCAGTTACAATCTAGGCTTTTCGCTGCTTTGTGACAGCGCCAATGAGAGTTCGTCAGCTGACCGCTGTGTGGCGCTGTTCCGGATCAGACTCGAACACAACACAGCAGCAGTGGTATGGCAGCCTGGAAACAGACAGCCATCTTATAATCCGCAGCCAGTTTGTAGTATTTGCAATTTAAACGGCTTTTTTCCATCTTTTAATGATGGGTCAGTGTGGAATTACGTCGTCTAAAACCGTCTTGGTGTTCCTGAACCTGATATTTTGGGTAAGTTAGAGGCATTTGGGGCAGAATTTAGGAGTGCGTCAGTGTTGTCAGATGGACACAGTCCGGCGTCGAGCAGCTGCATTATTACACACACTCCTAATACGTTTATAAAACCTGCTAAATGCTCGCATATTTTGCTATATTTGATATGCCTATTGTGTTTATATTGCATTATTTATAAAACTGCTCGTTGCTTTGTATTGCAGTGTTTGTTTACATATTTCCTGCAGTCTTAATAAGTCTACATTGACCACTGTAATGCCTAATAAACATTGACAGTATAAGATTAGTGTTATTTATATGTCTTTTAGCCTTGAATATGCGTGCGTGAATTGGCAAGTCACCCTCATTGTTTTCCTTTTAGCCCCAGAGCAGGTTTAGTTGTATTGTTTGACATGTTAAACCTATTCCTCCTTAGGCAATTCCTTTTGGAAACTCTGTAATCATTTGGAAGGAGTCTTGAAGGAGAAGGCTAATAAAGACTAATAGCAGTTTCCTCAAAGGATCCCATCATCACACAAAACAACAAAGAAGGCCTTTAAAAAAAAAACTGTTCACAATGACTTTGCAATAGGATCAGATTGGAAACATTTGTACAGATGTTTTAGATTTTCTACAAATGATTTCCTTTTAATAGCCCTGTAATATTGTTTTAATAAAGTACATTCAAGTTTATAATAGTAGTTGTAATAATAATAATGATAAAGGTTTGGTAAAAAGTAGGGATGCACGATATATCGGCCACCATATCGGTATCGGCCGATAAATGCTACGTTTTTCTGTTATCGGTATCGGCCTGATAAGAAAATTTGGCCGATATCTTAAAGCCGATAAATAATGCATTATTTCCTTCAGAGACACTTCAGATGCGCGCTGTTTGTTTGCAGCCTTTTGTGCAATTGTACGTTGTAATATTGTGTTTATTTGATGTTTTAAAACAGTGGCATTAATTTGTTACTTTTTCACAATCATTGATATATTATTAATAACAACAACCACTTGTATTTTTCTCTTATTATTTTCATCAACAGTATGGTTTAGTAATTAAAATCATTTAATTATTGTCCGTGCAGAGGCTATTCCGTTTTATTGATCTGTGGCGCATTCATTTTGATTCTTTACACGTGTAATGATGTCCAGTGACTTGTTTGCATTATTTATGCATAATTTTATTTATTTGTAAGACTTTTTTATGACTAAATTTGGTAATGGGAGAGTAAAAATATTTTTAAAACGTACACCGTTCAAACTAGGCTGCTTATGTTGAAGTGTTTGGGATGTGGCTTTTAATGATGAGACCTTTTTTGTAATCAGGCTCTCAAAAAGTATATAACAATTTGGATATAGATTTATTGGCCAGCATATCGGTTATCGGCTTTCAAAAATAAAGAATAATCGGTTATCGGTATCGGCCAAAATTTTCATATCGGTGCATCCCTAGTAAAAAGACTAATATTTAGGCAAATAAGAATAATAAAAAAGTATTTTCATTTTATTAAGCGGATCGTATGTAATTATAATTTGATTTCATAAAATCCTAGCTAAAATCAATTAAGTATAATTAGTTTGATGTTATAAAGACTAAAACCCTTTAATGTTAAAAATAAATATCTATAAAAGTCTATAAAGTCAATTCTTAGTTAAGGTATTTAGGTAAATTTTGACATCATTCACAATGATAATATACAATATAAAATGAAATATTTAATACATAATTAAAAATTCACTTTGAGGATCTACAAAAGGGGGGAAAAGTCAGTTTGAGTAGGATTTAAATAAAAATTTAAATCAGTAATATTGGCCAGAATGGCCACTAAACTGTGTGTGTTTGTACATATGTTAGCAATATACTGTTATTTAAAAATATATATTTATCCCTTGTTTTCAAATTTCAAACATTTAATTTAAATATGCAACACTTCCACGGCCAATGTTAAAAACAAAATGGGGTTCGCACATTGGGTTCAACTGAACTGGGGCATTGGTGGCAAAGTTTCACATCTAAGACCTAACCTGAGCTGTTGGATCTGTAGAAACACTACTCCACCTATCAGCAGGATTTTCTTGTCTGTGTTTGTTTGATTAATCTCTTTAATCTGGGACAGGATGAAGTTTAAAGTCGTCACTTGACAGATAGAGGTAGTATGACACTATCCTGTTCTTTTTTTTTTAGGGATCAGGCTGCTTTATTAAATATGTGTTCATCACTTCAGAGCCTGAGAGCTGTGCTAAACCGATTCATAGGGGGGTTTATGGTGCAGTTGTAAGTGGGGAAGACTAAAACCTTTTAAAACTAGTTTTTCCCAAAATGCCTGCTGGTCCATGGAGGACCCAGAACACTTTTTATTCCTGACTTGTTTCCTTATAAGATGATAATTATCCACATTTCTGTATGTTGACCTTTAATTTTGGCTGATGGCTTTCTCGTTGGTCAGCATTCCATATCCTTAGTCGTTCTTGACGGATATGACATGAAGTTGTGTTTGGTTCCAAATACTTGTACTTAGTTGTAGGGCTGCACGATTAATCGAATGCGGCAGCTTCTGTCGAATCACGATCTCGATTCCATTTCGATTTATCGTCCAGCCCTACTTCCTCCTAAATGACTAATTTGATTGTCTTTCTGTGACGAAGACTTCATTACATCAATCCAGTAACTGGTCACATCTAACTCATAATGAGACTAACATAACTCTTGGAATGAAATCACATCATATCTGCTTTCATATAACTAACCCTCTGTTATCTCCTTATAGGCCGCTGCTGGCATTCTCTGCTATGTTGGAGCCTATGTGTTCATCACGTATGATGACTATGACCATTTCTTTGAGGATGTGTACACCCTGATCCCAGCCGTTGTCATTATCGCAGTCGGAGCGCTGTTGTTCATTATTGGACTCATTGGATGCTTCGCCACTATTCGAGAGAGCCGCTGCGGTCTTGCCACGGTTAGTGAACTGTTCAATTTCCAGCACTTGCTATTAGTGTTTTCCTCAAATGAATACTTTTATCCAGCAAGGATGCATTAAATTAATCAAAAGTGACAGTAAAGACATTTAAAATGTTACAAAAGATTTCAAATGGGAAAAAATGTATGATGTTTCCACAAGAATGTTAAGGAGCACAGCTGTTTTCAACATTGATAATAAACAAGTTGAAAGGGATAGTTTATCATTGTTCATATATCTTGCCCTGCTAAAACCACATTTC